TTTGGTACCAGAAATCAAACTCAGGACCTTGTGCTTGCGAGGCAGATGGTGGAACCACTGAGCTAAACACCTGGCTCCAAAAGGGAATCTTAAGGTGGGCATGGTGGCGCACGCCTGTAATCCAGCACTCGGGAGGCTGAGGCAGGAGGATTGCTGTGAATTCGAGGCCAGTCTGGACTACAGAGCGAGACTCTGTCTCAAACAAAAACAAACAAAGCAAAAGGGAATTGGAATGACTTAGTCTCAGAAGTTCTTTTCCTCTCAGTTTCCAGACCAACAAGTTTGGTCCCAGGGGGCGGCCCTGATGTTCCTGAACCCAGGGAAGCTTCAGATCCTGACCCCGCTCCCCGATGCTGCATCTCCTGCGTACGACTTCCGGAAGTGTGTGGTGAACATTCAGGCAGTTCTCACGGGCCCTGACCTTCATGCTGAGAAGTGCAAAGTAGGAGAGTGGAGTGTGGGGATTCATTTCCCCTGTCTTTTTTTGCTTTTTCTTTTCAGATCTGGGGATGGAACCCAGGGTCTTGTACATCAGGGGCAAGCACTCATCACTGAACTGTACCCCTAGCCTTTTTTTTTTTTTTTTGAGACAGGGTCTCACTATGTAGCCCAGGCTGGCCTTGAGCTCTAGGTGACCCTCCTGCCTCAGCCTCCTGTTGCTGGGATGACGGGCTTGCGCCACCATGCCCGGCTGCACACATAGCAATTTATTGAATTTAATAGAAGTGACAGCTGCAAGACCAGTGGGTTCCTGTGATTTGGATCAAGGCAAGGCACCTTATGCAGTTTCAACTTCATGCAAGCCAGAATGTACCCAATGATCTCAAGCGAGTATCAGAGGCATTAGGTGCTAGGTACCTTCCCGACCCAGGTCGCAGCAGGGTCCAGGTGCGTAGCCCCCCAGCCCCTTCTCATGGTTTTATTTATAGTATGCTGTAAAATGATGGCAAGGAGACCGGAGAGGGAGGTCAGATCAGTGCTGGGAGCTGTGGTGTACACCTCCATTATCAGCACTCAGGAGGCTGAGGCAGGAGAATCGCAAGTTGGAACCCAGCCTGGGTAACTTAGTGACTTAGCAAGACATTGTCTTGAAATAAAAAAGTAAAAGGGGGCTGGGGAAATAGCTCAGTGGTACAGCAACTCCTGGCTTCTATCCCCACTGCCCCACCGGAAGGAGAAACACGCAGAAGTGGTGACTGTAAAGGACAGAGTGGGGGTGGCTCTGGATGTGCTTCTGGGGGCTCTGAGTCCAGCCGGGTCGACAGGAGCATGAGCCGGAGACCAGGAAGCTGCCCCGGAGGCTCCCTCCCCATACTCTGTCCTCTCCTGTCGGGGGCGTTTCCTTCATTTCTCATTGATCTGTTTGGTCTTCGCGACTAGATAGAGCTGATGTACGGAGCCTTCAAAGGGAAGATGTACACCTTGGATATGAACAGCCAGCTGGAGGTGACGGCCATCATGATCCCCCGGCCGGGCGCCTCCCTCATTCCCCAGGCACGTGAGTCCCTGCTGCCTCTGGTGACTGGCAGTCGGCTGCATTCTCGGCCCAGCCCCAGGCTCTGGGCTCCCTGGCACCAGCCGTGGCGGGCGGCTCACTCTAGCTGCTCTGCAGAAATCATTTCTCTTTTTTTGGCTTTTTTTGAGACAGGGTCTCACTATGTAGTTGAGACTGACCTGGAACTCACTATGTAGCCCAGGCTGGTCTCGAACTCACAGCGATCCTCCTGCCTCAGCCTCCCGAGTGCCGGGATGACAGGTGTGCGCCACCACGCCCGGCTGCAGAAACCATTTCTAGGTCTCTCCGCAGTCAGGCCCTGTGGCTGTCCGCCCAGTTGGCTGCCAGGCCTCCTTCTCCACCCTTACTTTTCCCTTGCAGTAGCATCCGGGGCCTTGTGCACGGTAGGCAAGTACCCTCTACCACAGCTACAGCCCAGCCATTTTTATTTTTCGAGACAGTGTCTTCCGAAATTGGCCTTAAACTTGCAATCCTCCTTTCTGCCTTGGCCCCCAGAGTAGCTGTGATAACAGGTGTGTGCTATATCGTGCCTGGTTCAAAAAAAGAAAAATCTTTTTAATTTTTGTGGCGCTGAGTGTAAACCGAGGACCTTGCTATTCTAGGCAAGCGTTCTCCCTCTGAGGTGCGTGTTCAGACGCAAATTAATCTTTTGTTTTGTTTGAGACGGGGTCCCACTATGCAGTACAAGCTGGCCCAGGCTGTCCTTGAACTCATAGTGACCCTCCTGCTTCAGCCTCCCGAGTGCTGGCATGACAGCCACGCCCCACCCTGCCCGGCCCAAATACATCTTTCTGGCTTTGTTGTGTGTACAGAAAGATGGTCCAGGGCTGGGGCTTTTAGCTCAGCAGTTCCACTGCCTCCCTTGCAAGCACAAGCACCGGAGTTTGATCCCCAGACCAAGAAAGAAAGAAAGACAGTCCAAATGGCCCTGTTTCAAATTCCAACGCCTCAGGTGACTCCCGCCTGAGGCCTGAGGAGAAATAAGCCGCGTGCTGACGCAGTGTGTCCCAACCCTCCCACTGCAGGGGCAGGCGAGGCTGGCCCTGGTCCTCCAAGCCACCTGCAGGGAGATGGGTTCCCGGTGGGCGTCTGTCCTGACTCTCAGGCAGGTGGCTCTGTGACGTGGGTGTCTCCCCATGCGCCCCCAGGTGATGGTGAGCAACCCCTACTCCCTGGGGCTGAAGACCAGCATCTACGAGTTTGACAACACCTACGCGGGGAACGTCCTGTATAGGCTGGTGAGCCGCGTCCCCAGCTCTGCAGCAGCGGCCCTGCTTCCCGGAGTGGGGCCCTCCCGCCTCCTCCCCCTCTTGCCCACAGGAGAATCGGAGGGGACACAGCTCCTGCCCCGAGCCCCGGGGGAAGATAAGCACGCGGCATCCCCAACACCTGACCGGGAGCCACACGTCCGGCCCACCCTGGGGTTGGCCACAGCCTAGGAGCCGGGGTCCGCGGTCCCAGTGCCCTCCGCACTTCCACCCTGGGGCCCCAGCAAGCGGGCATCACGGCCATCACAGCCACTTTGGTCTGGGCCCCGCCACGCAGTCCCCACAGAAGAGGGGAGGCTGAGTCACACCTCACTGGGGACCCTAGAGCGGCACTGTGAGGGTGAGGAAGCCCTCTGCTTGGCCCCGTGGCCTTGGACTTCCCAGAATCCTCTCCTGGGAGGTAGAGTTGGGAGAGAGGAGAGTATGCCAGGGGCAGGGATGGTGACACATACCCGTCATCCCAGGACTTGGGAGGCTGAAGCAGGAGGACCGCTGCGGGGGGGGGGAAGCAGAGGAAGAAGAAGGGGAGGAGGAGGAGGAAGAGGAGAGCAGGCTAGATGGCTTCCAGGTTCTTTTCAACCCTGTCCCTCTGACACTAGCTCGGCACCCCATCCTGACTTTGGAAATTCCAAGCACAGCCCTGCTGCAGATGGTTCTGTCCCCTGACCCCACCTGGTTATGGGGTGTTTTTGTTTTTTGAGACAGGTTCTCACTATGTAGCCCAGGCTGGGCTTGAACTCCTGGAGATCCTCCTGCCTCGGTCTCCTGAGTGCCCGGAGGACAGGTGCGCACCAGGTCTCTCTCTCCCTCTTCTTGGTCCCACAGGACATCAGACTCAAGCAGCAGCACCACTGGGGCTGGTTCGACCCCAACTTCACCTCCAGGTGTGTGGTTGGCTGGGCAGGGGAGGGGCCTTGCTTGTGTACAGGGGTCCCTGGAGCCAGACGGAGTGAAAGCTTTGATACCTGCTACAATATAAGTGAACCTCAAGGCCACAGTGCTCAGGGAGCAGACCCAAGAGGACACGCAGGGCAGGGCCCCACTCCCAGGAGGCCCAGTGTGGTCAGACCCGCAGGGACAGGAAGGAGGACGGTGGTGCCGGGCTGGGAGGGGCCGGGGTCAGTGGTTCCTGGGACAGTGCTCAGCTGGGGAGACGGGAGGTCCCGGAGGCGGACAGTGATGGGTGCCCTTAATGACCTTGAACTGAACCCTTACAAAGAGCTGACACGAGCCAGGTGTGGCGACACAGGTCTGTAATCCCTGCACTCAGGGAGGCTGAGGCAGATCGATCACAGGGTCAAGCCCAGCCCGGACAACTTAACAATTTAGTAAGAGCCTTTCTCAAAATAAAAAACAAGGGCTCGGGATGTAGCTCAGTGCAAAGGTGGGAAGATGGCTGGCTGGGTGGATGGGTGGGTGGGTGGATGGGTGGAGGCTGGGTGGATGACAGAATGGATAGCTCTGTGCTGTGTCCGCTGTGACAGCGGTTAGTCCTGACCCACGCTCCAATTCCTTGCAGCATAAAGAGACCCACCCTGTCTACCCTAACTGTGGACGTAGCCAACAAGGAGATCTCGTGCATGGATCTGCAGCCCCTGGTGGGTCCCCGCCCTTTTCTGTCACATATTCTGTCCCAGTAATAAGCCGCAGAAGCAGGACCCACGGTGCTGACCGAGCCCTCGTTCGGGATCTAAAAATGGTGGGGATCCCGACTTGATCTCTGGGATCACTGCCCCCATCCGTGTCCCTCAGAGCTGCCCCTCACCACCCCATCCTCCCTGTCAGTGCTTTTCCTTACTGATGAGATGCCCCATGAGAACTAAAGACGGCAGCCTCACCTGGTAGCAACCATATTCATGGTTGGGTCATTCGCAGTGGCCAACGGTGAAAGCAACCCACGTGACCATGGGTGGAGCAATGGTCACACACAGTGTGGTCCATCCACACGCTGGAATATTACACAGCCACGAAAAGGGTGACACTGTGACACTCACCACGGCGTGGAGGGATCTTGAGGACCCTGTGCCCAGTGAGAGACACCAGCCAAAGACACAGTGTGGGCTCCACGGACAGGGAACATCCAGGACAGGAGACTCCTTGAAAAAGAATGGGAAGAGGAGTCAGTGTTTCATGGGACAGAGGCTCCGCTTGGAAAGAGGAGCGAGTTTTGGAGGTGGCCAAGGTGAAGACTGCACAGCCAGGCGAATGTGCTCAGGGCTGCTGAGGCTTGGGGCCCGCTGTGGTCACAGCACATACTGGCGTCCGAGTCCCCAGGCCTCAGTGTCTTGAGCCCTTCCCACGTGACTGTGTCCCGCTGCGGGTCCTCACTGCAGGCAGCTCCCGGGGGTCCCCACTAACCCGTGTTCCATCTATGTCTGTAGACGGCGCTCATTTCCATCGGTTGTGACCAGGAAAAGAAGATCATTGTGCAAAAGTGAGTGTGTGAACATCTGCGTGGATGGGACGCGGGGTAGGCATGCGGGGTGCCAGGGGCCACAAGGTGATGACTATGGCGGGGGTGACATCAGATTCTTTTGCCTATTGTGGGGTATGTTTGACATTTCCCAAAATAAAAATCAACCCAGGCGCGGTGGTGCGAGCCTTCATCCCAGCACGCAGGAGGCTGAGGCAGGAGGATTGCTACAAGTCTGAGGCCAGGCTGGGCTACATAGCAAGACCCTGTTCAAAAGAGAAAAAGAAAGAGCCAGGGATTTAACTCAGTGGTGCCGCCACCTGCCTCGCAAGCGCAAGGACCCAAATTCTATCCCCGGTGTGAAAAAAGCAAAAGCAAAACAGACAATGCCCAGTAGCTGTGCCACGAGACACACGACCGGTTCCCCACAAAGCCATCCAGGTCGTGCAAAACAAGGGAAGGCTGAGCCACTGTCCCCACTGAGAGAAGCCTAGGGAGATGAGGGACTCAATGCCATGTTGGGTCCTGGATGGAGTTTCAGGAAGAAGGGGGACATTCGGGCAAAGCTAAGGAAATGTGAGGAAAACAATCCCAGTCCCCTAGGTCACAACAACGTATCAACACGGACTCCTTGGTTGCAACAAATATGTCAAACTGATGAAAGATGTTACCTTGGAGACAGTGGGTGGGCACATGGGAACTTTCTGTACTGCTTCTGCAAGGTTTTTACAAATATAGAATTAATCTACAATTTTTAAAACGTTTTAAAAAGGAGACTGGATACCATGGCTCCTGCCTCTGACCCCAGCTACTCAAGGCTCAGAGGCAGGAGGACCGTTCAAGCCCAGCCTGAGCAGTGCAGCAAAGGCTGGATTTACAGCTCAATACAAAGACCCTGGATTCACACCAGGCATGGTGGCGCGTGCTGTCATCCCAGCACTCGGGAGGCTGAGGCAGGAGGATCACTGTGAGTTCGAGGCCAGCCTGGGCTACATAGTGAGTTTCCAGGTCATTCTCAACTACATAGTGAGACCCTGTCTCAAAAAACAAAAAACAAAATAGGTCAGTCTCAACTACATAGTGAGACCCTGTCTCAAAAAACAAAAAACAAAAAACCCTGGATTCAATCCCGAGTGCCCAAGAGCACTAGGCTGGGCACGGTGGTATGCACACTCGTGATCTGAGCCATTTAGAAAGCTGAGGCTGGAGGGTCATCGAGAACTCAAAGCTAGCCTGGGCTCCATAGTGAGTTCAAGGCCAGTTCGAACTACATAGTGAGACTTTGTCTTTAAAAAAAAAAAGAGAACGATCATACGTTCGAGGGTGACAGAGCACGTAGCACGTATGAGGTCATGGTTCCGTCCACAGTACTGGAAAAATAAAATAAAAAAGGTTGGCCCAAAAGGACCTGCAGAGACAGTTCCCCAAAGAAGGTTTACACGTGGCCAGCGAGCACCGGGAAGGATGCTAAGCACAAAGGAAATGCAGAACCAAACCGCCGGGAGACAATGCCTCACACCTAGTAGGACGCTACTATTTAACAAAAGGAGAGCCAGGCATGATGGTGCTCATCTGTAGCCCAGCACTCAGGAGGCTGAGGCAGAAGGATCATCATGCATTTGAGGGCAGCCTGGGCTACATATCCAGACCCTGTCTCAAAAACTAAAATAAAATGGGCTGGGGATTTAGCTCAGTGGTTCTGCCGCCTGCCTCACAAGCACAAGGACCCGAGTTTGATCCCCAGTACCAAAACCAAAAACAAACAAAAACCCCCAAAATAAAATATGGAAAATAATGAGTTGGGAAGGGAGGAATTAGAATCCGTATGCACTGTTGGTGTAAACATAGTGCTGCTACTGTGGGAAACAAGACTGTCAAATCCTCAAAACCAAAACAGAGGGGGCTGGGGATGTAGCTCAGTGGTACAGCACCTGTCTGGCAAGCGTGAGGTCCTGAGTTTAATTCCCAGTCAAAAAAAAAACAAAAAAACAAAAACAAAAAAACAAAAACAGAACAGAAAAGAAAAAGAAGGAATGACCACACAGTATGGCAATACCGTTTCCAGATCTGCACCCAAAAGCGTGGAAAGCAGTGTGGTCCATCCACATGATGGAGTATTACTCAGTCATGAAAAGGAAGGGAACCCTGACATCCTACAGTGTGCGTGGCTGGCCCTTGAGGCCACGCTGCTCAGGAGCTGAACCACACACAGGAGGACACGCAGGGCAGCGCCCCGCTCCCAGGAGGCCCAGCGCACTCAGACCCACGGGGACAGGAAGGAGGACGGCGGTGCCGGGCTGGGGAGGGGCCGGGGTCAGCGTTTCCTGGGCAGAGCTGGGGGGATGGAAAGTCCTGGGGGTGGACAGCGGGGGTGACACAGCCGTGGGATGCACCCCCTGCCGCTGCTGTGGATGCTATGGGTTCAGACCATTTAAATCTTTATTTGATCAACTGATAGGTTGATGGATTGATTGCAGTGCTGGTGATGGAACCCAGGGCCGTCACACCGAGCTCCATCCCCAGCCCCTTTGTGTTTTGGGGGGGTTTTGTTTTGTTTTGTTTTGAGACCAGCCTTGCTAAGTTGCTAAATTCTACAGGCTGGGCTCAAACTTGTGATCCTCCTGCCTCAGCCTCCCAGAGCTCTGGGGTGACAGCCGTGTACCACACCCAGCTTAACAATATCATAATGACGATGTCCCGGGGATTTAGCCCAGCGGTTCTGTTGCCTGCCTCACAAGCACAGTCCAGAGTTTGAACCCCGGTACGAATGCTGACGACCATGGTGAATAGTAACACTAGGAGCAAGCCGTCCCCACCGTCGCCCTGGGTCCTGCCGGCCCGCCTTGCTCCGCCCCTGGCCTGCAGTGCAGTCTTCCTCCGGGGTGAGGCCTCTTCCCACCGTCTTCTCTCGCTGGCAGCAAGATTTCTGCCTGCTCCTCGGGTGTCCTCGACCCTCGCGTGCTGCAGGACAACTACACCTACGTCATCGAGAAGTAAGCGGGCGACACCCCAGTGCTGCCACCCGAGCAGGGGTGAGGGCCCGGCCACCCTTCCCAGCCTCGTAGCCTGCACCCCGGAGCGAGCTGCACCCGCGGGCGCCCTCTGCTGGACGCCATCCGACCTCTTACTATTTCCCTCAGACGGAGTCCCCTCTGTGCCACCTGGCTGGGCTTGAACTCACGATCCTCCCGCCTGCCTCAGGCTCCCAAGCAGCTGGGATGGCAGCTGTGCAACACCCGGCCAGGCCCCTCTGCTCCCTACATGGGGCTTTCTGGCTGTGTCACATGGTGCAAGGGGCAGACGAGGTCTCTCCGGCCTTTCTTACACAACTTTCCTTCTGTGTGTGACACTGGGGACTGAACTCAGGACCTCATGTATGCTAGGCGAGTGCTCCACCACTCAACTACATCCCTGGCCTCTTGGGCCTTCTTCTTCTTTTTTTTTTTTTTAATAAAGGCACCAACCCTAGCTAGGCTTGATGGTGCACACCTGTCATGCTGCTACTCACGAGGCTGAGGCAGGAGGATCCTGAGTTTGAGGTTAGCCTGGACAACTTAGGGAGACTATTTTTTTTAAGTTTTGTTTTGTTTTGTTGCAACAGGGTCTCATTATGTAGCCCAGGCTGGCTCCAAAAAATGCCAGAGAACCTCCTGCCTCAGCCTCCTGAGTGCTGGGATTACAGGCGTGCACCACCATGCCCAGCTACTATGCTGTTTTATAAAAGGGACTTGAGATCCATGGATTGGGATCTGCAGGGGTCCAGGAAGCCATCTCCTAGGGCCAGTTGTCTTTGGACGCCAAAGGGTACTGTAGGTATAGACATGGGGGAGGAGGGGGGCGTGGAGAGAGGCTGCTTTCCAAGACTGTGCTAACCCATGGCTGATGTCTGGAGTATCACAGTCTGCGGAGTGGCTGGCACCTTGGCCTGCAGGGCACGGCTATGATTTGAGTCCTGGCCACAGGCTGCAGAATCCCTTCCTGCTCAGGAGGGGTGGCGTGAGGCCGCGTCAGTCCCAGTTCTGTTCTGACGTCACCAGATCAGGCCCCATCCTACAGGCCCACAGAGTCCGTTCAGCTGCCTGGCCTGGGAGGGCTCATCTCATTCCAGTAGCCGACAGGGCCAGGGAACACTCACCTGTCAGGCGCAGGCCCTGGGGTGGCATCGCCTGCACTAAAATAAAGGAAAGGAAGGAAGGAAGGAAGGGAACGAAAAGATAAGTCAAGCATGGTGGCGCACACCTGTAGTGACAACACCCAGGAGGCTGAGGCAGGAGGATCACTGTGAGTTTGAGGCCACCCTGGGCTACGTAGCCACAATTTTTCTCACACCAAAAAAGCAAAGAAGGCAGGCTGGGGATTTAGGTCAGTGGTTCCAGTACCTGCCTCACAAGCACAAGGTCCTGAGTTCGATCCCCAGTACCAAAAAAAAAAAAAAAAAAGAAAAAAAGCAAAGAAGGAAGAAAACCCCCCACCACTTTTATAGAAATGTCAGCGTGTGAGGTTCTGGGGTCCTCTGACAGCCAGGTTGGCCCTGTACCACCCCCAGTGAGCAGAGAGGACCTGGGGCAGGGCCTCACCCACCCCCACCCCTCTCCACTCTCCCCAGGGGATCCTATAACCGTGGCCCTGGCGAGGAGGCGGCCACAGAGGACCTGCTGGTGTCCTATCCATTCAAGGACCTCGGCTGCCCTGGCCTTGTCTACTACGAGACCCCCTGGAAGCCGGTGATCGAGCTGTAAGGCCGGTGCCCCCGCCCTGGTCCCCTGGCCTCCCTTCCTGTGTGCGGTGCTGCTCTTTCCCGACAGTTCAAGTCCACATCAGGGTGTGCTCCCAACCAGGCCCAACTTAACCTCATGTAGCCACCATTACCTCACTTATTTTATTTATTTATTTATTCATTCACTCATTCTCAAGATAAGGTCTGGCATTGTACTTCCGGCTGGGCTTGAACTCACTGTGACCCTCCTGCCTCAGCCTCCTAAATGCTGGGATGATGGGCGTGCATCACTACGCCTGGCTCTGTTGTCCCATTTTAAAGGCCGTCTCCAATCACAGCCACATAGGGGCTACAGTCCTTCTTGCCCCTTGTCTGGAGTCTGTCACCTCACTCCATTCTATTCTCTTCCATCTCCATTTGTCAGGTGTGTTGTCTGCTTCCATGTGAGTGGTTGATGGGTTCTGAAGGATGTGTAGGAGTTCATGGGGAGACTTGAGAATGAAGGTAGATCCAGACAAGAGGGCTCCAAGAAACCACTGCAAGCTGCCTATGCAGCTGTCACTGTGTAGTAGTCACAAGAAGCAGGGGCTGCTATTCACATATTCACTCCACAAACATTTACAAGGCACCCACTATAAGCCACACAATATACTGGGTACTGAAGATGTCAAGGGAACCAGGCTCCCTTTGGAGACCATGTCCTAAGGTGGGAAAGCCAGTCAATAACTCAGGGTCTGGGGTCGTGTATTTGAGGGTCTCCAAGTTGCTGAACCACTCCTGCCTCGCCCCTCGAGAGCTGCGGCACAGTCAGCACCGTATCGGTGCCTGAAGCCGCGAAGCACTGGGAAAAGCACTGCCCGGTACTGAGCCTGCAGACGCCTTTTCCCAGCTTCCCTCCCGGAGCAGTGCAGGGGCGGAGAATCAGAGCAGCCCAGGGCCTCGGCGCAGGACCACATGAGAGCCCCTCTTCCTGCTTCCCTGAGCATCTGGGAGCCGCTGGGCCAGAGGTGCCACTGGCTTGGGAGCGGGGCCTCCCACCCCACACTCACAGGAACATGTGCACGAACATGCATGCACACATCACACACACACACACACACACACACACACACACACGCACGCGCGCACAGGCCCCTGAAACCAGCGCGCCAGGCCCCACCCTGCTGCAGAGATAGAACATGTGCCAGAGGCCAGGCGTGGGGGCACTTGGGAGGCTGAAGCAGGAGAATCTCTGCAAGTTCGAGGCCAGCCTGGGCTACATAGTGAGACCCTGTCTTAAATAAATCTAAAAACGTATATACGTATACATCTATATCCACACATCTGTTTGCCCTTGGTTTGCTCACGTACACGGGTCTGCACGCCCATCTGTGTATGTGAAGCACATATGTATGGTGACGTATAGACGGTATGTAAAGCTCTGTTTGTCGGCCTTTGTTTATTGGTGCCATTATTAGGTTCCCTGGTTTGACAGCCCTTTTTTCCCGTTGAACTTCTCATTTTTTTTCTGATACTGGTGGTTGAACCCAGGGCCTTTGCACTGAGCTCCATCCCCAGCCCTCTTTTTTTTTTTTTTTTTTAATTTTGAGACAGGTTCTCGCTGAGCTTTCAAGTGCGACCCTTCTGCCTCAGCCTCCCAGAGTGCTGGGATGACAGACAGGTGCCACCACGCAGGGCTCAGCAAGGTGATAAGTCCCCTCTCCCCGCACCCCGCTCTGTCCCCTCCCAGGTGGCAGGGAGAGGAGTTCAAGGCGCTGGTGGAGGCTGAGTTCGTGCTGCGTGAGGTACACGGGCTCAGCACCTTCTCCTACGCACTCACCGCTGAAGCCGCGGGCTGCAGCTCTCAGCCGCAGAACTGGAGCTCGGTGCTGCTGTCTGCGCACGAGGCCGGGCAGGCCACCTGGAGCAGAGAGGTAGCGCCCCCTGGTGCCCGGGGTGGGCGAGGAACTCGCTAGAGAGAGGGCAGTCGCTGTGCTCGGGAAAGCACAGGACAGGACCCGTGCAGGCCCACAGGAGCCGGAATACAGTACAGGCGCAAGGGGTTGGGGTCTGCACCCTCCGAACGCCCACCGTGGAGGCTCACTCGATTCATGGCGAGAGCTGGGTGACGCAACCCTGTCATTGCACCCTCCGAACGCCCACCGTGGAGGCTCACTCGATTCATGGCGAGAGCTGGGTGACGCACGCCTGTCATCTCAGCACTCAGGAGGCCGAGGCAGGAGGGTGGCAAAGATGAAGCCCAGCCTGGGCAACGTAGTGACGTAACAAGACCCTGTCTCAAAATGAAAGAAAAAAAGGGCTGTGGCTGTAGCACAGTGCAAAGGCCCTGGGTTCCATCCCCAGTGCTGGAGACAAAAAGGACCTCAGAATCTGGTCTGTGTTCAGAGCATTTCTGTAATTCGAACTGGTGGTAGACGGTTGACAAGAAAGGGCGTGGTGTTACCACGTGAAAACCTGCGTGGTTCCTAGGGGTGTTTTCTCCCTGCCCAGTAGCTTTCCGTAGCAGCCACGGAGCAGTAGGTCAAGGCCAAGGCAGAAACACAACGCAATGTGGCAGCGCCACCAGCAGATGGCGCAAAGTAGCTTGCAGACGCCTGTGCTTTTTCCAATTTTTCCTCCCTTCCTCCCTCCCTCCGTCCTTCTTTCCTTTCTTTTTCTTCCTTCTTTTTGTATTGGAGACTTTACGCCAAGGCATTTTAGCAGAGATACACACCTAGGACTGGGGATTTAGCTCAGTGGTTCTGCCGCCTGCTTTGCAAGCGCAAGGTCCTGAGTTCGATGCCCGGTACACACACACACACACACACACACACACACACACACACACACAAAGAAAAAGGTGATACAGAGATACACACTTAACCCTCTTTAAAAAGCTTTCCTTGGAAGCTGGGCATGGTGGCGCAGGCCTGTAATCCCAGCACTCAGGAGGCTGAGGCAGGAGGATCGCTGTGAGTTCGAGACCAGCCTGGGCTACACAGTGAGTTCCAGGTCAGTCTCAACTACATAGTGAGACCCTGTCTCAAAAAAACAAAAAATAAAAGCTTTCTTTGGGGCAACCCATTTTCCAGGCCCCCTTCTGTCTCTCTTAGAAGCTTTCTTTCTCTCAATAAATTTTTCTTACTCTAAGAAAAAAAGCTTTCCTCGGATCAAGGCCTCACTAAAGTTGCTAACTTGCCCAGGCTGGGCTGTAACTGGCGATCTCTGTGCCTCTGCCTCCCAGGGTTGGGATGACAGGTATGAGGCACCGCGCCTGGCTCCATTCCACCCTTCTGGTAGGGTCCGTCAGTCCTGTTGGCTTAATGGGCACCCGATCCATCTCATTCTACCCAAAGCGCCTCTGTACAAAGCTTACTTCTGAAGGTCATATTCACAGGTCCTGGGGGGAGGTTAGAACTTCAACATGATTGCTTTTGCGGGGGCTGAGGGGACACGCATGACATACTGACACACGCTTCGGCTGAATGTGACAAGCAGTGATTAAGATTCAGCCTCTGGCCAGGCACGGTGGCTCACATCCGGAATCCCAGCATGCAGGAGGCTGAGGCAGGAGGATCACTGCAAGTCTGAAGCCAGCCTGGGCTACATAGTGAGACACTGTCTATAATAATAATAATAATAATACCCACAGGAGAATAAGACTCAGACTCGGAAGCTGCAGGCCCAGGAGGAAGCTGAGGGAGGAGGTGTAGGTGTGAAGTCAGTCCCAGCACAGAGGCTGCACGCTGGTGCCCTTGCCCCCGGTGCGGGCTAAGGGATGCCATGGGAGAGGACCCGTGGCACCACTCCGCTCTGTTGCCTCCCAGAACTACGTGAGCTGCCACAGTCCCAGCTCCAACAACCCCCTGAGGTGGCCAGATGTCCAGTATCAGATCCTAGGAGGCCGGACAGACAACAGGATCATTTTTAAACAATGGAACGGGATTTACATCTTTCACCTTTCTGTCTTGGATCCGTACTACAGGTGAGCAGGGCCCTGTGAGTGACATTTTTTTTGTGTGTGTGCCAGGGATCGAACTCGGGTCCTTTCGCTTGGGAGGCTGAGGCAGAAGGATCCCTGGGCTACATAGTGAGACACTGTCTCAGAAAACTGAAATCAAAAACAACAAACGCACACAAATAGCACATGGAGTGGGTGGCAGGCTCAGACCCCACGGGGTGCCACGGGCACAGTGGGCTGTGGTCACTGCCCCCGGGCCCTGCTATCCCTGGGCTCACACAGTGGCCAGGACCAAGGCCTTTCCCCGCCCGTGCCCCAGCTACTGCCACCTGGAGACCACCTTCAGCATCTACGTGTACGGCGCCTACCCGCTGTCTCTCTTTGCGCCGGGAGTCACCATTGTCCTGTTGGTGGCCAGCATGCTGCTGGCCGTGTGGCTGGCCCACATGATCCCCCGCCTGCTGTGCACCGCCGGCGGCCACAAGATCAGGGAGGCCTACAGGGGATTGTGCCGGAGGTGCAGCAGCCTCTGCCACTGTTGCCGTGGTCTTCGGTGCTGAACGGAGCCCTGGGAAGCCACCCCGATTCCCCCCACCGGGCTCTCCCTTCAGGCTGGTGCCTTAAAATAAAATATTCGGTAACAAAGCAGGAACATGTGCGCTGCTCACGATTTCCTCCCCGTATTCTGTGACACTGGTACCTTGGGCCACACTTGTGCGGATGGGTAGCAGCTGCTTGCTACAGACAGCAGGGAACAAGCTCCCTCTACCCACCTTGCGTCTTGTGCTTTCTTCTTTTTCCTTTCAGTACTGGAGTTTGAACCCAGGGACTCTGCACTGAGCTCCATTCCCACTTTTTAAATTTGGAGACAGGGTCTCGCTAAGTTGCTAAACTGCCCAGGCTAGGCTCAAAGTTTGTGATCCTCCTGCCTCAGCCTCCAGAATGCTGGGATGACAGGCATGCACCACCATGCCCAGCTCACTTTTTTATGTTTTGGTACTGGGGATGGAACATAGGTCCTTTTGCATGCTGGTCAAGCACTCACCTCTGAGCTACCTCTTCATCTTAAAGCAATCTAGGCTGGCTTCTGTGTGGTGGCACACCTGCAATCTCAGCACTCAGGAGGCTGAGGCAGGAGGATCGCCACTACTTTGAGGCCAGCCTAAGCTACACAGTGAGACCCTATCTCAAAAAACCAAAACAAGAAACAAAAACCTCATGACACAGGAGTTTGGTGGTAGCTTCCGGAGCCACTCCTAGCTTGTCAATTGGCTGTCATTTTCCAAGCCCAGGGCCTTGTTCACCAACTCCCGTGACTCAGATAAACAAGAAACAAAAACCTCATGACACAGGAGTTTGGTGGTAGCTTCCGGAGCCACTCCTAGCTGTCAATTGGCTGTCATTTTCCAAGCCCAGGGCCTTGTTCACCAACTCCCGTGACTCAGAGTCCCCCGCTTGACTCCAGAGGCATCACTGTGCTCGGTGGGACACAGCCAGGACAGCGCAGCAAGGGGACAGGTGTCCACACCCAGCCGATGGCCGCCAGACCCCGAGGCCACCAGGAGATGCGAAGCTGAGAAACCAAGTCCACTTTAATCGGGGGCAGTGCCCAGGTCCCGCCCGGCCCCTGCAGATGCCTGCTTGCCCTTGGCCCCCGCTTTGACCTTCCTGGTGGGCCGCTTCTTCCCCCGTGTGTCAGCCTGAAGGACAGGGGTGGCGGGGTCAGCTCCAGGGGTCCCGGGGCAGGGCCGTAACCCCTCATCCAGCACCCTGAAGTTGAACAGAGAGTCCACACTGGACACCGTGTCCAGGATCTCGGGGACACTGTAGTCAAACGACAGCAGCTCCTCTGGGAGGTGCAGTGAGTGGATGTCACTAGCCGAGTTGTCCCCGCCGCCGCCGCTCTCCGGCAAGACCGGTCCCGGGACTGCACGTGCTGTGGCTTTGGGCTTGGCGCAGCTGGGCAGACAATCGAAGAGCTTCATGGCGTCTTCCAGAAGCACCTTGTCCGGCAGCTCCAGCGTCCGGGCCGCCTCGCACACCTGGGCCTCGCTCGTCCCCGGTGGGGTGGCTTCCTGGGCTTTAGGCTCACAGGGGGCCGGGGGGTGGGACAGGCCTGGCCCTGCTCCACTGCCACATTGTGGCTCCTTACCAGGTAAGGCCAAGGGCTCAGTGGGCGACCCGGCCACCTCGGACCCAGGGACCTGGCCTCGGAAGTGGCCATAGGTGCCAGGAGGCAGCGGGGCCTCAGCGGGCAGCGTGAGGAGCAGCGGAGGCCGTATGCTGTCTTTGGAGGGCGGCAGAGGGGCCCGGGCTTCTTGGAGTAGCAGCGGGGACAATTCCACAAAGCCGGGGGGCCCCCCACCGCCCGTGAAGCCCAGGGTCTCATGGCTGGGCCCCTCTGGTGGGAGGTAGGGCATGAGATATGGGGGCCCCCCGGGCTGGTAGTGGGGGTACGGGGGTGGCACTGGGGCCTTGACGTAGCGCTGGGGCTCCAGGAGGTAGCTGCCCGGCGAGGTGGGGCCCGCGGCCACCGCCAGCTTGTACAAGGCCTGGCCGAAGTCGGTGGCCGTCCATTCAATGCGGTAGATGCGGGGATCGAAGAAACACCCACAGGGGGCCATCTGGAAGCCTGCAGGCAGTGGGTGGGGACCTGAGAGCAGCCGGGGGCTGGGGGAGCGTGCGGTCTTCTCCTGGCCCTTCGTGAAGCAGCCCAGGCCTCTGGGGTCTCATTCGGAGGCCAGGACACACAGATCTCGTTTTGGGGGCCTAGGTTTTATCAGTGCAGCTCCTTCTGGAGACAGTGCCCCAAGCTTTGCTTTGGGGAACCCATCTGGGAGAGGAGGGTGTGGGCTCTGCCTCTGGGGTCACCTGGGGGTGGGGGAGCCGGCCTCTGCTCAGGCACCCCATTCAGGACACGGGGCCCAGCCCCACCTTTGGGGTCCCTTGTAGGGATTTGCAGGGGCACCTGGGCCCCACCCTGCCCATCTTCATTATAGTTTGGGGGTTCTGGTACCTGCCGGAGGGCCTGGAAACACGTCTTTCTCCGGGTTTAGAGGTTGGTACAGTGGGTTTGTAGAGGCTGTGGATAAAGGTGCCAGGTGGGGGTCCCGTGCCGCCGGCTGGGAGCCCTAGCCTGACTGCCAGCCGCCCCAGGCCCCCTCAGCTTGTACCCATGGTGGGCAGAGGGTCGGTGCTTGTGAGCCCGGGACGGCCACCTGGGCCTGCGGTGCTCTCCAGGCCCTGGGCGCCGAAGCCTTCCCGGCAAGCTGCAGGTGCGAAGGGTTTGGGGTGCTGCATGGGTGGGCAGGGTCCGGCCTGGGCAGTCACGGGGGCAGATGGGAGGGGAGGCTGCTGCCTGGGAAGGAGGCTGCAGCCCTGCAGCGTTTTGCCTGCTGGTTACTGGGGCGACAGGTTCCGGTGAGCCTGGCCCACTCCTCAGGGTTCCGGGGGTGGGGTAGGGTGCGCAGGGCTAGAGAGGGAGCCCTGGAGGTCACAGCCAGGCGCCCCCTTCGGCACCCAACCCTGGACCAGCTCCCAACCTTCCACTCCTTTTATCCGGGTCCTGCTAACAGCCCCAGGCTGCCACCTCCAGGCAGCTGCCCCATGAACACCCCCACCGCACCCCATTGGCATCTTGAGGGACAGCACTTCCACCTGGCATGGAGGGGGTGCCGAGCCAGGGACCAGGTGATGCCAAGCTGTAGCAGGGAAGGGGTGGGCAGGGGCTGCCTCAGCAACAAGAGAAACAGCTGGATTTTGAAAGAATACAATTTATTAAGCCAGGTGTGGTGACACGTGGCTGTGACGCCAGCATTGAGGAGGCTGAGGCAGGAGGATCACCTTGATTGAGTTCGAGGCCAGCCTGGGTTCATAGTGAGATCCTGTCTCCAAAGGCACCACCCCAACAAAACCCCAATTTGTTGTCCTCCAAACCAGCCCCAGCCCCAGGCAGCAGCTACTTGTAGGCATTGGCCTTGTGCTTGGGCAGGAAGGCGAAGTCGGGTGGCACCGGGCCCAGCAGCATCTCGCTGTGGGGAGCGGAGGGAGGGAGGGCAGGCGGGGATCCGGTCAGGTTTGGGTTCAGGGTGCCCGTCCCCCATCCCCACCTGGCCGGGTGCCCTGCACCTGATGCGGATCCAGTCCGCTGCCTGCTGGCTGGCCATGAGCGTCTCCAGGTAGTCCCGGCCCAGGTAGTAGGGTGGCCGCTCGTTGATGCGCTGCGGGAGTAGCTCCAGCAGGCCAACGGGCACGTACCTGGGGGCGGGGCCAGTTCGAGGGCGGGGCCAA